GAGGGGAGTGTGCAACGGTAGAAGTTCCCACCCCTCCGGATTGCCGAACTTGCTTCACCCGAGCAGCAAGCAGATTACGAATATTTAGCTCGTCAGCACCACTGGTAACCATGATTCCTGCAAAAAGGATTATGTAAAACATCAATAGGAATTAAGTTTACAGTTGAATTAGGACGGATAACATACCTATCAAGTCATTCCACCAACGAGGGGATTCAACCACGTTGATTAAAGACCTGATCGGCAAACGCCGAGGAAGACGAAGCAGTAACTTGAGGTCTGTTCGCTCTTCGGCTGTCAGCATTTTTTTTGGTACGACGTCATAAGGCCGAGGGGTGCGCGTCCAGTACAATAAAAATAAAGGCCTTTCGTCCTTATCAAAGAAGAACCGCCTCCCATTCGGCCGGATAGTCACTCGGAAAAATCTTGCCTTGAATTTTTTATACGAAGAAGTGAAGCTATCCAATAATAGTCGGTCATTTTTTTTGGTACGACGTCATAAGGCCGAGGGGTGCGCGTCCAGTACAATAAAAATAAAGGCCTTTCGTCCTTATCAAAGAAGAACCGCCTCCCATTCGGCCGGATAGTCACTCGGAAAAATCTTGCCTTGAATTTTTTATACGAAGAAGTGAAGCTATCCAATAATAGTCGGTCACTCACTCGGCTTAAGGAGTGCCACTTCGCTAATATGGTAGGCCGAGACGAATAGAAATACAGGAAAAGGAGGGGAGAAAGCTTAATATCAAGACACTTACACAAGTGTTTGAAACCTTGTAACTATGCCCAACTGTTCGGGTGCAATTGCGTGGGTGCAACGTTTAAAATCTTTAGTACTCCCATGGTAAACTCATCAAACGGCAGTTTCACTTTAAGATCCCGAAGAAGGCAGTCATATATATAAAATGACTCCATTCTAGCACCACTTTGATCAAGGCAGACCATGTCGGGATTTGGAGACGCATTGTTTCGGCATGACCGAACCCCAATTGGGTAGGGATTCTCGGTGGCATCGAAGTTCAGACAGTTAGTGTAATCCAATAGTCTCGTGATCATGTCTGTGTCTCGGTACCGAGAGTAGTAGGAAGTTACCTCCCCGTTTACCCATTCGTATCCAGGTAGTTCGGATGGACCGTATCGTTGACGATTCGATGCCCGCTTTGGTTTTTTCTCAACCTCTTCATTCCCACTGGTAGACGCCTCTCCCGAAGCAGAATCACCCTGATCTGGCCTTTCGGCACTCACAGGAGACGAAGATGCTGTGGGATGACTCGAATCACTGGACGAGGACCCCCCGGATGACGACGACCGAGAACTGCTGGCCGAAGAAGTTACAGAAGTAGTAACCATGGCAACAAAAAACTTACCAGTTATCCGAAAGACCACAATCGTTCGTTGGATCGGCTTATGAGATCTTTAGCTATCACAATTCGGATGAGAGCAATGCGTGTGAATGGCCCTACCACACCACCTATTTATAAACTCAAAAAGAAGCGGGAAAATTCGAAGTTTCAAATTACATATAACCGTTCGATCCTCCAGATCCAACGGTTACAGTGGTGCACCCGTTCACATTCCCCTAACAATCGT